TTATTTTTTGTTTTGTTGATTCACTGTCTGTTCCATGGTGTAACCAGTTCCCCTTTGTAGATTATTCTGTTAGGTACTTTGTACCTCTTTTTAGTTTTGACCCCCCGTGATCTGTTTTTTGGTGTTTGCTAGTGTTTTCAGTTTCAGTTAATAAACCCCCTTTTCCTGCGAGCCACCACTGGATCGTCCGCTCCTTTCCCCGCCTGCACCCTACCTCCCTCTCCGTGCCAGAAACACTCGAGAACATAACATAGCTAATGCAATAAGATTATCTAAGTCATAATGTGAGGACAGCACTTCAAAGGCCTGGTATTAAAGTCAGACCAAAAATTAAATCATATCAAAACAGATTTGAGGCAAAGTGAATGTGTTTGTGTAGCAACACAGGTAGGCCTAAAATCTTCCTTAGCAAACACCACTGTGATGACAAAGGGCCACATTAAATAAATCAACTTGTCGATATAATTTGGCCGTCCACAGTTGTAAAGTTTCAAGGGCTATGCTGTGCAGATGGTTCATTTCAACATCAGGTTTAAATCTCAGATGCATGCCTCTGTCATTCTGTACCGGGCGGAAGTATTTATAACACCAAAGAAAACGTCACCACATTTTTATAGCAAGACATATACCTATGTTGCCATTTAACCATAAAAGACCTACAGGGGCTGTTGGTTGTTCAATCATTTGTTGTTCACAGTAAATATTTAGCTATCACTAAGCTATCACTCATTGTTTTGTCTCAATTGAATCTTAAGACCTTTGCATTTTTTTAAATGTATTCATATGTAGCTGTGTTGCAGAATAATACAACAGAAAACAGCATTTCTATTAATTAAAATATACTTAGATTACCTTTCATATTTCAGAGAATGAGTGAGGGAACAGATTAACACACTTTAAATGAGGTATCTATTAGAATACCACTTTATTTAGGAACACGTCCTTTAGTCCTGAGATTACACTTTAACGACGTCACATTGAACCTACAGCGACTTCTCCTGGTAGATCCAAAAAGTTTGGTAGTATCTTTCGGATTTAGTTCAGTACAAAATAAAGATCGACCATCTTTATTCCAACCCCATCGCAGGGCTACATAGCCTACATACTGTATTCCTAGTTCTAAATCTTAAAAATACTGAATCCCGAAAAGAATGTATTAAGTTGTTGCCATCTTGCACACGAAACCTTCATTTGCAAACTAAAATATACGGCTAATTCCACCCCAATAACTTTTACTGCCTTGGGTTGCTTTTCGAATATTACGAACATTTTTGTAGGAACAAAATATATGCAGTCTTACATCCAGCCCTATAGTAATAAAATCCTGAGAATGGTTGTGGGCAATTCCCTGTGCCAGCAACACTGAAATATGATTACCTTTTCCAAGGTGTCAAAATTGAGACTAATTAGTCTCTAATTGTATTTCTTTTCAATCTACCCAGCATACAAACACTTACAATAATATAATTAAGAAATGGAAAGGACACCCGCAAGTCTTAGCTAAGATTGTCGAGGGATTTCCAAGGAGTTCAAAGCACCATAACAGATTTATGCTAGTTCACATAGTCTGACGTCAGATTTTTTTTTACTAATAAATCAAATTGCAACTAACGGCAAGCTTTATTAGTTCGCGATTTCTTTAAATATCGGTTGGGAATTATGCAACGCTCTCCATAGGTCTCCAGTGCTCGCTTGTTTTATTTGGAGGGAAACATTATTAATATGTCAGATTCTTTATTAGCATTCTAAAGGCTTTTCTTTGGTTTGGTAATAACCTCCGCTATCCTTCACTTAAGTGATGGGTCTCCGCGGTCGCAAATTTATGTCGCTCAAATTATCCTTCTGAGTATTAAGTCTGCCAATACTCGGATGGCGGAAGTGGTTATAAGTTTTGTAAACCAGAATTAGCTGCTTAATATGTAAAGTATGAGAACTCTAATCACACGCAATTATCCTTTCAGCACCGGGATTGCTGTGCCTGGAATCAAAGAGACGAAGCAGCGAAGCTGGTCTAATGAATTTCAAGCATATTTCAGCAGCATTGTAATGAGCCTTCACACTGTTTGTTCACATGGTGCCAAATTATCTCTGTGCAGCATCTACATTAGCCTGCAAATTGCCACCTTCCTCAAAGGAGGTACATTTTATTTTTAAGCAGGCCAAGTGCCCTGCCCGATAACATACGCGACCTTCTTCAGTTAAGCCATTTTAGTGCAATGTGAATTTGCAAAGGCTGCCTTAAGGGGGAGGATTCTGGTGATGGGTTAAGGTCATCTGCTTGCCCAGCACATATCCACGTCCATCTCTCGTTGTCCTCTTCTGCTAATAACAAACCTCATAATTTGTCCTAAACTGACAGTTAAAGCACCCAGCCAGAACGACGTCTTAAATTGACACGAAAAGTAATTTGCCTCATGACTGGATGGCTTAGGAATAAGCTCAAAATAAAATTGATGCCAAGAAATCATAATTACTATTGCACGAGGCCAGATGACAGAAAATAGCTTGCAAGGTGATTTAAAAAAAAAAAAGACTTTTATTGTCTGTTCTGATCTTTCGCCGTTTCTGCCAGAACCCCCGGCTCGACATGGGTGACGCCGCAGCCGTGCCAGAAGTAACCTGCAGTGCATGCAATCAAAAACAACCCCACGGAAAGAAAAGCAGACACACCTGGGATTTTGGCATTGGAAGCAGGAGCGCATGTCTCATATCAGGCCGGTAAACACTCACTGTCTGTGTGCTGGGAGACGGGCAGGGCGCTGGTCGCCCACTGAGGGTGCAGAAACTTCACTTTCTTCAACGGGTGCCGCCAAGCAGATCCTATAGCTATTTTAATTACACAGCTATTATACGTTTTTTAGGGGTGGGGGTGTACGGAATGGTTGTCAGTAAAAGTAAAATTAAGGTAAACACTACATTTGTAATCCTTCCCACTGGGACAAAAAATATAGCCTACTTAAAGCTTTCAAAGTTTTTCTTTCCATGCAACTATAGGCTAGAATCATCCGGATTGTAGGGCTGTCGACAAGCGTTACATGTCTTTTCTCCTGTTGAAGTGAAATACTTTGTGTTTTTTTATTTGTTTACGAACGTCAGCTATGTTATTATCTCACCTATAATTAAGTTAGATGTGTTTTCTTGGGACGGCCTTAATTACATTAATTGCTAACACCGTTAGGATGCAGCTGCAACTGTTGCATCAGGAACTCTCCGCAAATTGAAAAACACAATTTCAGCCATTTCACATGAATAAGCCTGCAACTATTTCGCATGAATAACCCCCTGGACCGCATGCTTTCGTTGTGAAAGCATACTTTAATTTCCCCCTTTAAACTGCACGTCATAAATACACCTGATAACATCTGTTGTTTTTAATTGGACTGTTAAAAGGGAAGAGGCTTATGACATTGTGCAAGGAGTTAATAAAAATGCGTCTTGTTACCTACGGTTTAAGTGCGCCGTGTTTCCTCCCTTATTCACGTCCCCGTGAATCCCTTTATTTACGCAGCCAGTATCGGGGCAGATTATACAGCGATTCAGGAGGCTTGAGGAGCCGTGTGAAGCGCGTCTTTATCAGCTACTGCAGGAAGGACATCCCGGTGTTCTGTCGATATATGCTGCCTTGTCGAAAAATGCTACCGTAGTGCTAATCGATAGCCCTAACCCTAACCCCCCAAAACCCCTAAAACCCTTACCTTAACCCTAATCCCAAAACGGTGGAACTGCACATGCGCAGAAAGGCTCGATAGCACGTCTCGATAGGTAGTATTTTTCGACAGAACACCGGTGCCGTCTCCATGTCACAGATCAAGCCTTTTAATTCATTATGCTTTAATTTGTGTTCCTTACGTACTACCCAGATAGCATCATGTTATTGTTTCAGCGTTGAATTATAGTTAAATGCGTTGAATTATGGTCAGTGTTAAATTATTATCGTTGAAACTGAATTGATTTTTGGTCAGATTTTCAATATTGAAAAATCGATGGTGGCAAAACCTTGATTCAATGTTGATATAAAGTGAAACGTTGAAGATCAACGTTGTTTCAACCTTTTTGTCTGATATGGAATCAATGTCATTTCAACATAGGCCTACGTGTGCTATCTGGGTATGAACCTATGGAGTCTTGTCCTTTTGGCTCCTCCGTATATTGTAATAAATTAGTCAGCGAGTGGTGGTGTTTGTTTAAAAGATAAAGTCATCGCAAATAAACGGTGCACTGCAACTAAATATAAGATAAGGTTTCACGGAGTTCGATGTAACTTTGCGTACAGTATCTGAGTAAACAGTTCCACCGCATCCCTCGTTGCTTCAGATACTATTACATAGGAAGTACATGGTATATAGGTGTTGCCCTCTGGCTGCTACTTAATATTAATACTGATTTGGTATGCGACTTACGTCCGTCCATAACCTGTATGTCTTATCTCACCCACCCAACAGACGTTTTGAGCCAGATGGCCGAGGTTGACCCACCTTCCACCAGTGAGTTTAGGAGCTGAAACCAGCATGAATGACGTAGCAGTTAGGGCACTCAGAATACTTTGAGGAAAACGCGCTGGGTTATGGGATAGATGGAGAGATGTACCTCCTACGGGTGCTTCAATGTTTAGCTGTCTGTCATTTTTCACTCTGGCCCAGCCCTAACCATATCCGGCCATAATTTGTACGTTCCTTGTTTAACGATGAACAAAAAAGATCGGGTCATTAAATATACAAAATGGAGCGTCTTGCCATCCAAGGTGTTCGTTGCGATGTGCTCCATACTCACTTGGGCCCTGTACTGGATAAGGATGGATCTATGAACCGGGGTGTTGTGTTTATATGTGGATGATGTATTCCCCCTACTGGCCAACTGTAGGTACTGCTGTATTTTTTAAAAAGTGGATTGCATATGGTCATTTCAAACAAGAGCACTAAGGTTGGAAATAGGAATTTATTTGCCTTTGATTACTAATCTCTGTTGATTACTAACCTCTAATTGAAATAATAGCACACCAGTTGGAGTAGCAGTTGTACCAGTTTAATGGCAAAGGTCACTATTTAATTTACAAATGTTGGAACATGCTTTATCTCTTACTGGACTTCGATTGCACCTTAGTCAGTAGCATCCAGTCGTTGACAAGTAGTGTGTTACAAGCACATGTGTGGGCATGCCCAGTGCAGGGTGGCGCTGTAGTTCAGTTGGGGGGCTGGAGAGCCCAAGCCAAGGTGTTCAGATTGTGGTGCAGCTCAATTCACTTGCCGGCCTTCTGAGCCTTTTGGGCCGACTTGGTCACCTTGCCAGCACTGCCCGTCTTCTTCTCGACATTCTTAATGACTCCCACAGCAACCGTCTGCCGCATGTCCCTGACAGCGAAACGACCTGCCACACAAACACACACACACACACACACATATGTACGTATGCACAAACACACACTCAGGCACAGAGAAAGAGGTGAGAATGGCTTGTTTCCTGCCACGTTAGATAGATAGATAGATAGATAGATAGATAGATGATAGAGGAAACAATATTGGCATACAGACATGACAAACTAGAAAACACAACAAAATAAAAAACAGTTAAAAATTGACAATTGATGCGGAGCTGCTTAGTTTTGCTAAATCCTCAAATATTCAAAAAAGACACAAAAAGTTAAAAGCATTTTTTGTCTTCACCTACACTAAGGTTTCTTATTGTAGTTGTATTATTTATCAATTTGCTATTTTTATTCTTTTTCCAGGACTATGGAAAGCCTTTCAGATTTAAAATGTATTTGTGTATACAGTTTTTACTGTAAATGCTTTTTATTTACTGCAGGTTTTTTTTTAAGTTTTGCTGCAATAGTTCAGTAGCTAAACTCCTTCTGTTTCATTTTAGAGAGCAATCATAACAGCCATTATACCTTCATCCCCCAAACTTCAGCTCAACGTAAATAACAGATGAGCTACTTTTAAAAGTGAAGAGGGGGGCTATTCACAGCATTATCATCATTTTAATTAAAGGTCTTTTGAGAAGTTTAAATACTGCACTGCTCACTGTTAGACATTAAGTACTATATGTCTGTAAAAATATAATTGCATGGGAAAGTGCAAAAGACACTGGGAACCTTGTTAGCAAACATATTGTGTCTGGTGCTGTCAGCCCATAAATTTAAGAAAATTACACAGTTGAAAGAAACCTGTAATTTTAGGAACAATAAACTGGCACAGACACTTGAAATTAATTAACAAATGATCTTTTTTAACAAGCTGTGGAGGTGTAGTGTAATTTAAATCAGATGTTGTTACAGAGCGGCATGACTGTAAATTACCATCAGTGAGTAAGCACCATTTTATTTCTTTTGTTTGTCTGGTGCTGAAACAGCTGCAGTCAGAGCACAGTGAAGCTGATGTAATCCATCCATGAATCTGTCTTCCTGACTACTTATCCAGTACAAGGTTGTGGCACAGGGCAGGGGGCACAGGGGGCATTATGCCAGTCCACACATGGGCACACATGAACAGAGCCACACTCAATACTGTATTTGAGAGATGTCAGTTCACCAATGCCACATGATTTTGGACTGTGGCTGGAAAGCAGAATCCCTAATGAGATCTCATGTAAACATGGGGAGAATATCCAATCTGAACTGATCCAGAGTCTGTGCAGGAACTAGGCCTCCAGCTGACTAAGCTGCAATGTGAATGTTGTGTGCCAGGAGATGCCCAGTCTGTGTGGCCCTGTTTGGAGCGGAGGACCTCAGCCGAGCAGGGGGGCGGGGACTCACCTAAGGGCGGGTACTTGGAGAAGCTCTCTACGCACATGGGCTTGCCGGGCACCATATCCACGATGGCAGCATCCCCCGACTTGAGCGTCTTGGGGTTGTCCTCCAGCTTTTTGCCAGAGCGGCGGTCGATCTTTTCCTTGAGCTCAGCGAACTTGCAGGCGATGTGGGCCGTGTGGCAGTCGATGACTGGGGAGTAACCCACGCTGATTTGTCCCGGATGGTTTAGGATGATCACCTGTGACAGGAACATTAGAAACAGCAGGTTGTGGTCATGTGGGGGGGTTAGGGTTGCTGGCACTGATAGGAGCCCTGGAGCCCTTTGGCCTGCATCCTGGTTAACCTCAGAGGAAACCAGGGATGGACTGGGATTAAATTTCAGCCCTGGGCCCAGTACTTAAAAAAAGTTGAATCTGGAAAAGAATAATCCCGATTTGGAAATCCCATGTTGTGTCACCCAGGACTAGGTAATCCATTCAAAAGCAACATTGGCTTGGATCACTCTGCTCCAGATACAATCTTTTCCAGATTACCAGTTTTCAATTCCTTTTACACAGTCAAACCCCTCATCTCACCCACAACAAATAAACACAAAAATACATTTCTCACAAATATTTTGAACATGTGATTTAAATCATAAAATGGTTAAATGTCCAATAGTTAACAATAATAAGGCACGTAACCGTTAGAAATGACTCCTACATGATATTGTGTGTTCAGCATCTGTAATGAGATCTTCTCTCCCATTTGTATTTTCCGCTGCGTATGTATGACTCTGATTCTCTGTATTGTTTGGTGTACTTGTTAGAATTACATTACATAGACAATAGGTCACTTTTAGATAGATCTTTTTCTTTTTTTTTTTACTGGTCTCTCGCAATGCTACAGTACGTCTAAATCGTTAATAAGACCTGGAGTATATATTGCCCATTTTAAGGACATTAGTATATAATAAGCACTGTGTATTTATGTAGGATTCTTTTGAATTTTAATGGCTGTCTGACATTTGTACTGATCGAATAAATATTTTTTCATGAATTCTTTTTTACTGTCTAGTACATTCCTATGTGGTAATTTTACTGTGATTCCTTACCAGGAATAGTACACGATAGAACAGTAACGTAAGAGGCATGCAAGAGCATTGCGCTTCAAAAGACTCAAATTTTCTGACTAATCACTTCAAGGGTGTGCAACTACATAATATTACACAGTGATAAACTGCCTTGCAGCCTCTGAGATGAATCAATCAGACACAGTGGGAGGGTGTCAGTCACTAAGTTAAACTGACTAAACACATGATACCAATCCATAGTGCTTTTTCCTGTGTGATGTATACAGCAGGGTTATTACTGTTAACTAAAACAAAAAACAACTATGAATATTGCTTCTGAAATTAACTTAAGTAAAATTAAACACAAACAAATACTTTCTGTTACTATTTTGTTCTTTTGTTCTTTTTGTGTTTGTTGTTTTTTTTTTTGTTTACCTACATCTTTTTTCACTGGTCTCTCACAATGTTACAGTACTTCTAAATCCTTAATAAGATCTGGAATATATATTGCCCATTTTACGGGTGTTAGTACACAATATACACTGTGTATTCATGTGTACCACTTTCAGTCCATCCCTAGAAATAAAATTGCAAAAACTTAAACTGAAACTAAACTATAAATAGACACACTCAAAAAAACAAAAACTAAAATGTATTTCTAATAAAAATTGGGGAATTTTTTTTTTTGATAACACAATTTTTATATTATCCACTTCTGGATTCCTCACTGTACATTCATTCTCCAAACACTTATCCTGAGGATGTAGCACAGGGCATAAGGACGCCACTGAAATTATATATTTAGATATCGTGTATAAAATGTTCTAAGGGCAGAAGGAAAAATGGTTATATCTCTGAACCAATCAATCTGCTGTAGATGAGGTGGGTGCAAGCAACTAGAGGAGGTGGGACCAAGACATCCGATTGGTTGGTCCAGCTTCCTCTACAATCCGATTGGTTATCTCTCTGAACCAATCATTTTTCCTTCTGCCCTCAGAACATTTTTGTGTAAGTAAAACTCAGGTAAGATGATGTCATCTTGGTTGGCTTGTGTTTTTATGGCGCTGGGTGGGAGGCTTCAAAGGCCTGTGTCAGCACACACTGACCTGAGCCGTGAAGCCAGAGGCCTCCTGGGGAGGGTCTGACCTGCTGTCTCCACACACATTCCCCCGCCGAATGTCTTTCACGGATACATTCTTCACGTTGAAGCCGACGTTGTCGCCCGGAAGAGCTTCGCTGAGAGCCTCGTGGTGCATCTCCACCGACTTCACCTCAGTGGTGATATTTACTGGGGCAAAGGTGACGACCATGCTGGGCCGGAGGATCCCCGTCTCCACACGCCCTACGGGCACCGTTCCGATTCCTTTGGGTGAAAATAGAACAGGGACATCAGAAGAAATAATGGGCAAGATGCGCTTCCATATTGCAGCCTTTGTCCGTTGCTAAAAGTACTCAAATGTGAGCAGGGGCGTTGCTAGAGATTTTGGGCCCCATGAAAGCATATCATATTAGGCCCCCCAGTCCAAACCAATCCAGTTATTTTCCTAATTTTTTAGGGCCCCTGTCACTCAGGGGCCCTTGGAATCGTCCTAGCTTTCCTCCCCCTTATGGCGCCCCTGAATGTGAGTAAAGGAAATCCGAGTTTCTCATGTAAGCATTTATTTGAATATTTTTTATCTGCAAGGGTGTCGTCTACAGACATTTATATGTGCATGTGAAAATCTTGGAGCTGATTTTCACCATGTGCGTAGAGCAAAATACAAGCAATCCCCAGATTAAGAACATCAGACTTACGGACAGCTTCTACTTACGAGAAGACTGCAATAAAGCCTATTATATAAAAAGTTTGATTATTAACGAATGCACTCTACTTTTTGATGTTCGTGAAAACATTGCATGGCTTCAGCGGTTCGTTGGCTTGAGGTACAGAACAATACTGTGGGTAGTTACTTTTATGTAAGAATTTCTTGTGTTACTGGTATCTTGTTGGTTGCTTGAGTTCCCAGTCCTCTTCCTTGGGGGGCACCTGAGCCGTTCCCTGTATTTTAGCATTTCACCACCAGCTCAATTAATTAATAAACCATAATTAGTGACTTAACTTCATGACATATTGGCTACCCAAAAAAGGGTACCAGAGTTAAGTGATCAGTGTTGATACACCACAGTGAAATGTGTCCTTTGCATTTAACCCATATGTGACATAGCAGGAGGCAGCTAATTCAGCACCCAGGGAGCAGTACCTTGCTGGTTGGGGATTCAAACCTACAATCTTTCAATTACAGGTGCACTTCCCTAACCATTAAGCCACCACTGCCCACCAATTCCCAGTGGATGAGTTTGACAAATACATGAATATATTGAGTGATTATGGCAAACACTGGGGTGACTTCAGAAGAAATGGCAAACCTGACACACAAGCAATACAAACATCATTTTCTTTGGCTGCCTAAGACAGAGTGCTGTAGTTACTCGCAGTAATCTGAGTCTTTTATCTGGATCAGAATGTTGCGCCTGATCTTCTGTATGTATGACAGTGTTGGTCCTAAAATATTATAGACAGTCTGGATAATATTAGTATAAGACATTCTAACTGTCTATGTATTGTCATATGATTATGTGTGTTTGTGGCTGTGGGCTCCACCTCCGATCTTGTAGACGTCCTGCAGTGGCAGGCGCAGGGGCTTGTCTGTGGGCCGTGTTGGTGGCATGATGGTGTCCAGAGCCTCAAGCAGGCTCACCCCGCTGGCATGATGCTCTTTCCGTTCCAGCTTCCATCCCTTAAACCACGGCATCTGCGGAGAGCCGTGCTCAATACTGTGCTTGCCGCAAAATGCCCGAGGGCAGAACTGTGATTCTGACACCACTGCCAAATGGATGGAAGAGCAAATTCTGTATTGTTCAAATCCTGAAGCGTTTTTACCCTTGAGAAAGTTTATTAAAATGCTTCATCTACCTCCTTAAGCTTCTACATTTGGGGAATGTATATATGATAATGAATGATGAGCAGCATTTAACTAATGCGAGTGCAAGAGAGGTAATGATGTGGGCAATACAATTTCTGTCGTCTCAGTGGATATGGGGGTCATACGCAGGTGAAACGCTGCTTCAGCATATTTGGTCTTCTGTGTAAAGCAATCATGCTTCAGCAAAGCATGGAGGGCAGCAGCGAAGTTCACAGCGGGGTGGTTGTAAACTACTTACATTGGGGGAGGGCTCCAACATGTTGTCGCCATGCCAACCAGAGATGGGCACGAAGGGCACGCAGGAGGGGTTGTACCCGATCTTCTTGATGTAGGCGCTGACCTCCTTCACGATCTCGTCGTAGCGCTTCTCACTGTAGGGCGGCTCAGTGGAGTCCATCTTGTTGACCCCGACGATGAGCTGCTTGACGCCTAGCGTGTAGGCTAGCAGGGCGTGCTCCCTCGTCTGGCCGTTCTTGGAGATCCCCGCCTCGAACTCGCCGACTCCAGCGGCCACAATCAGCACAGCGCAGTCTGCCTGTCCAGCGAGCACGGGGGGGGGGGAGTATGGGACGCAAATATGCAGCGATTTACTGTCATGTCCGTGAGGGCTGTACCAAATATATACCTGAGGACCACTGTCACTCAAAAGCTCCCCTCTATCCCTCTATAATCTTCCTAAAACGTGAACACTTTATGGAATATAAGTTGTTAGATTCTACCTAGGTATTTTGAACTAAGACCGATAACCCAGTTCTGGGCTGGGTCCATTTGTTCTTCTTGGTACCTTTCATGGGACTTTCGATGGATTACAATTTGCCTGGCCTCTCCACACAGACCTGTATGCCAAAGGGTGCTGTACTAGAACGTTCCATACACAAGACTGTCAGTGTGTTTTAAATATTGGGGGGACAGTGACAAACCTATTAAGTTACTCAGTGAGTCAAATTCATCCTCTCAAATTACCCTGTGTGACCTATGTACATCTATGTATAGGCTGCCAGTCTTTTTAAATAGTGACTGTATTCATAGGTCTGTGGATAGTTGAAGGATACAAAGCTTTCACTAAGCTAAAGTCACAGTCCTTGTAGGGACTTCCTGCTCATTCCTGCTTCACAGGTGGCACTGCACCTGACAGCCACCTCTCGCCTTGCAGCTGCTGAGCCCACAAGATGGGCCGTGTAGCATGACCTCAGATTAGAACTGCTGTTCACTGGGATTAAGAGGAATCAGTCAAGGTGGTTCCCGCATCCTGTTAGGGCACCACCTGGTCATCTCCCAAGGGAGCTGTTATGGGCACTTAGCACAGGAAAGAGGCTTCGGGGAAGACCCAGGACTCGCCTGAGGGATTTTATCTACCAGCTGGCTGGAGAATGTCTAGAGATCCCCAGAATGAGACAGTCTACAACTTTTGACAGACGTCTGGTCTGCACTGACAGGAGAAGTAGTGTGAGGATGAACATGAAATTCTGTGTAACTAGGGTCATGGTTGGAACCATGGCTCAACACCATCATGAACTCTGATGGACAGTTTGTTCAAAATGCAAATTATTTGTACCACTGACATGGCTTTTAAAAACATAGCCCACATAGTTTTTTTCCAATCAAAAAATTTTACCACGGACATGATTTTCCATGTATGGATAGGTCAGCAACCCCTGGGTGGAACATAATGCTAGTTAGATCAGTGCTTCCCAACCCGGTCCTCAGGGACCCAGAGTCAGTCCACGTTTTTGCTCCCTCTCATTTCCCCACCGGGAGCAAAAACGTGGACTGTCTGCAGGTCCCCGTGAACCAGACTGGAAAACACTGAGTTAGAGAATACCAAAGACTTATTGATAAGGGTCAGAACAGCAGGTCTATGCTGAACACAGTTCTGATACACTATGACAGTATTGCGTTATACATACAGTATATATGCCCGATTGTCTCGTACTAACTCATTTGTACTGTGTGTCCACCACATCTCTTTGTAAATACTGCATGTTCTTTTTCAGCATGCATTCAAAGGTCTCTCTGTCTCATATATCACTAAATCGTATGGGTCCTCCAGTAGGTCTCACAGTCAGAAAAACCAAAAGAATCTCCATGTGCATGTGAAGGACATGACAAAATAAAGCTGATTGTAATGTGGTGACCTCATGGGGTAATAGACTCCCTCTCATACCTGGGAGGTTCCAGTGATCATGTTCTTGATGAAGTCTCTGTGCCCCGGTGCGTCGATGATGGTGATGTAGTACTTGGTTGTCTCAAACTTCCAGAGGGAGATATCGATGGTGATCCCCCGCTCCCTCTCCGCCTTCAGCTTGTCCAGGACCCAGGCGTACTTGAAGGAGCCTTTACCCATCTGCAGCAAGGAACAGATGAGTAGAAGATGTTGGTCAACTAACTGAACCTAAGGTGTGGCTACAAAACACATTAATGTTCTTGGTAAGGGAATGTTATATTTGCTCATAAGAAAATATCGGTAACGTTTTACTTGAAGGTATCATCTATGAATTATAGGTACCTTCATAATGCATTATAACGGTCAGTATAAGAACTAATAAAGCATTACATCATCTTCAATTGAAAGCCATAAGGCATTATGGTGCTGATTATAATACTTCATAAACTCCAATGAAACTCTCATCTATAATGCACTATAGATACCTTCATAATGCACTATAATGGCATTAAGGATAATGACATAAGCATTAAGGATGCTTTGTACTGCATTATGAAGGTATCTATAGCGCATTAGAGATGAGAGCTTCATAAAGCATTCATAATGCATAATAATCATGGCTATAATGTGTTATGCCTATTTATAAATATTTGTTGCCATGCTTATAATGCATTATTACGCTCTACAAATGTTTTAATTTATTCTTATAGACATGACATTCACAGAAAGTGTTACCAAAATATCATTAGATATGTCAATCATTAGAACAATGCTGAAACTAATCTGACACCCTAAGCATAAAAGTGTTTCAACTACAGAGTGATAGTATCATATCTGTCCAGTTTCATACAAACACAGATGCACAGAGGTATATAGCAAAAGAGGAGCAGCTGAGGAACTGGGCTCGTGCACAAAGGCTCTCCACTTGATTTATACTTTATTGGTTAAGCAGATGCTTTATAGCCAAAGAAATGTACAATTGAGAAAGCAGCACCAGCCATTCCCTGGAGCAACTGGGGGTTAAAGGCCTTGAATAAGGCCCCACCTGTGAAATCACTCTGCTGACCATGGGATCTGAACCGGCGACCTTCCAACCAAAGGAATAGTGTGCCGACTCACTCAGCCACGCACCGCCCCCGCACGCGAAGTACGTGGCAAATAAAGCTGCTTCTGAGGTCTCCACAGCATGATGTTTAAACTGACCGATTTCAGTACAAATACAGCTTCTCAAAACCACAAGTTTATAGCTGACATCACATCAACGGGTCACTGGAGCACTTTAACAAGATTAAAAAAAAAAACAAATGGACTGAATAGTGTACTAAAACATGCATAAGATGTCAGGAAGATCGTTAGCGGGTCAAAAAATAATCATTAAAAAGTGCGGCTGCATGAAAGTGACTGACGGCCCCAAGGTAACGCTGGCAGCATTAATGAAGTTCTCTGTGCTCTAAAGCTCAGTGCCCTGACATTGATTGGCAGCACACTGCTAATCTTTAATGGTCGAGGTCCCTCTGTCGGCTTGGAAAGACTCCACTCTAACCACCTCTGTAACCTCTGCTTGAAGGCCCATTCCTCAGCAGTATGACCATGAGCTTACATAGTCTTAAGCCGTCTATAAGCATAGCAGTCCATAATAGCTGATATGGTGAGGAGTAGTATGGGCCCATGCATTCATTGTAGTTTAATCACAATATGCAAAGTCTTCTTGCACAAGCGTGTACTTGGGACAGTTGGAAAGTAGTGTAGAACGGTGGTGTAACGGACAGTGAGTAAAAAAACGATGCTTAGGAAGCTTAATGAATGACTTCAATAAGACATCAACCTTTACAGACTGTCTAAGGACTCATTTAAACTGTAAGCCAAATGGGATAAATGGATTTGCTTTATAAATGGGTCTCAATGGAGACGGAGGCTTCTAACATTCAGTGGGTTTCATCAATGGAGAGGAGAACAGCATTTGCAGTTGTACACCCCATTGTGATGCTGGTCATTCTGTGTTCCATGGTGATGCGATCGTAAGTGAATCTTTATTAGTATAGTGTGCCTGGACAAAATTGCAACACACAAATGTGTGACCTATTTAGAAAACTGCAGATTGAATGTTGGTTAAAAACAAACAAGTAATAACATCTATCACATTATTTTCAAAAGTTACCAGATGTTATTATAGAACATAACATATGGCTTGTGAATCAAAGTGAGTTTGACCCCAAAAGACTTAGGGTATAATCACTTTAGTGTGTCTGAGTACTGGTAGTCTATTCTAAACGAGCCCAGAATGTATATTCAAATCAGTGTCAAAAAAGGAAAGGATGGTGGATAGGGCTGCAGATCCCTGTGATGTTTCTCTCTGACCTCAGCCATGACTCCCTTTGAATGGTAATCTTCTCGATTCTGAATCTAAAAGCTTTTTGTTATTTTAAGTACTACCTGTTAAGGGCACTCAACCAGGACATTCAGCCTGCCTCCAATGTCAGTAATCTGATAATGTGAATTTTCCACCTTTTTGGCAGACATCTCGTTCTAAGGATGGATCTCGATCCATCCAGCACTGTGTGGTTTGTGTGGGGGCAGCTTCTGAATTTCTAAGAGGATTCTAGCTCAAAACTGAACTCAGATCAGAAGCATGTAGGTTTCAGTACAACCTTCAATTTGCTTTTTTCCCCTTAGTTGACCTGGGCAAACGATAACGCAGACATATTACTACTGTCGGCTCATGAGCCATACTAATTAAGGTGTGAAAGGCAGACCTACCTCAGCAGCTTCCTTCTCAAACTTTTCGATGGTCCTCTTGTCGATGCCACCACACTTATAGATCAGGTGCCCAGTGGTGGTAGATTTCCCAGAGTCCACATGGCCTATGACCACAATGTTGATGTGGATCTTCTCCTTCCCCATTGTCTGACGCCGGGGACAGGCCAAGGGGGGACGGAGCGTAACCAAACCTCTAAGGCCCAGAATAGAGAAGAAGGCGAACACAGCCACCAGAATCAACAGGATATTTGCATTACACAGATGTCATATTTTAAGGCTGGGTGAAATGAACATGAGTAAATCTCTTGATCAGATTACTGTAAATGCAGTGATACATTGTCAATGTCCCATTCTAATGCTCTCTGCTGAAAGAAAGAAAATAATTTGTTACCTATCCAGAGGATAAATAAACTTTCAGATCTTTCCAATCCAATGCTAGCTTCCATAATATTGGTATAGTGAACCACTAAGACTGTAATCAACACTCTTCATAAAGTATATGAAACGTTAAGCAGCAAACATTAACAAAATGCCTTTTAGATCTTGATGAAATGTCTATATTATTGTACACACTATAGGTAGTGTACATTACATATGCCACCACAGTGCTGGGACGACTGAACCAGGAAACAAATGATAAAACTAGTTTGTTTTTGACCTTACTAAAAGAAAAAAAAAAAAGTTAATGACATTGTAGCCTGATATCTCATAAATTATCCAAAACAAAAGAGAAAAGTTATATGACGTTGTATATAAGAATCAGTGTGGTAAAAAGCTTTTCAGTGTTTTGTTGATATTACCATCAAAACTGTAAATGCATCATTTTGCTAATGACCTCTGTCCTTATTTAAACTATTAACATTGTAAAAGGGAATTTAAGAATGATAAACAGGGATCAAGCTATACAATTTATTTATTTAATGAGATTCACGTGATTAATATAGTGTTATACACATTTTTAATTAATTGTTTATATATATAAATACATAAACGTATTATAACAAAGTAATTAGATGCACCTTTAACATATTATTACAATGAGGAGCATATGATGGCAAAACATTGCACTGTATCCGTTTTCAGATTTTAAGGATGCCAAAGCATATGGGTGTCGGTTTAATCCAAGTCACAGATCTACATTCATTGTTATGTATACCCTGTTATAATGAAACAATAATGCTTATGTCCAACCTGCAGCTGCCCCTGCTAGCATGTAAACAACACGCTGACCTGCAAAGCCTGAAGCTTATGTACAAAGAAAGTTTAACAAGAAACAGAAGATTCTTCACCTATAAACAGCAGAAAAATCATATATTCCTTCGACATTTTATGCTGGTTAGTGATGCCTCCAAAGCAAGTTTAATGTCTAAATTGTGCTACCAAAGCTGGCAATTTCAAAATCAGCTGACTGCCAATCAGCATTCATAGGTAACAGACAATGTTATAAAACACTAACGAAATAGTGACTGTGCTTCAGAAAAACCCACAACCTCACACCTTATTTAAAAGGGCTTATAATCACTAGCAGATACACATATTGCCTCTTACCTGTGGCTGCAACCTCAGACAGCACAGACTATTCGATGTGACCCAGGCAGTTTTATGTTTCTTGGAGGGGGTGAGGGTATTGGTTCCGCTGCGCAATGCGGTCACCCCCCCCCCCCCCCCCCCCCCCCCCCCCCCCCCCCCCCACCTCACCCCCTCCGGTATACAGCAATGCGGTAGCAGGGATGGAAAGGCAAACACTGCAGTGAGACAACCGCAGCAACACCGAGTGGATTAGTGAAGGGAGGAGAGAGAGAGAGAGAGAGAGAAGGAAGGAGGGAGAGAGCAAGAAGAAATGAGAAATTTGTGAGTGACGGAAGAGGAATAGAAGGGCAGAGAATCGTCAGAAAAAGCCGTGTCACTGCTCAAGTGACGACAACATGTGACAAAGCAGCCAGAAATACAAGGTGACCTATTCTAAGAGCCATGACACCATCGGGCACTCTGTTTGCAGAGGGCTACCCTGATTGGCCAGAGAAGATAACAGCAGCACCAGTAGGATGCTCACGGGATGCCCCTAATCCGTACGCTGATGATGCAGAATGAATCATGCCAGTTCAAAAAGAGGCCAAATTCATCACACCATTGCTGCAGTGTTACTATGTTACAAGTGTACTCTGTTATCATAGGATGTATTTTAAAACAGAAATATATGTATAAAGTATGGATGAGCACATCAGTTCCTGAGTGCAGAGATCACTAGTTTTTCACCTTCTCCACAAAGATGGTTGCAATGTTGCCTCGAAAACTTGAGATTCTCTTCTACGCTTCCTGAGCTCACACACAGAGCACCTGCTCACAAAAACAGACCCTTTGTGAGACAAGAATCCCAGAAGCCCACAGCATTCATGAACATTTAAAAGTTAAAACGGAATCAGTTTAAGCATTTCCAATAAGGTAAAATGTGCTTTATTGATCCCAGGGGGAAACTTGTTTAGATGCAGCAGAAAAGGAATATAATGTGTGCAACATACCCAAACAGGCAAATAAGCCAGAAGGGGCATTTGTACTCTGACATTGTAGAAGTGCCGTACTGTATATTTTAAAAAGGAAATGCTGTCCTGGCGTCTTACGGCTGGGGGAGGGCCTGCGTGTCGGGACGTGCCAACAGACAGAAAGGATCCCCAGTAGAGGCCATGGTAGCAGGAGGAATGATCCAGCGGCTGTAGGGGCTCCATGAGAGCGCCCCACGGAGGACATGGGAAGAATTGTTAATTATAGCACTGACGTGTACTATCTTGACGATAGTATGCGATTTGCTTGTGGGTCCCGTGGTGAGACTCTGGTGAAGCACCACAGACCATCAGAATTCGGACCCGCTGACTATTATTTAGATTGCTTTGCAGTGTCTATGAACTAATGGTTCTATGAACTGATCCAAGCTGGTCGAGTCCCATGTTTGATTCTGGTTGTTTGTACATAAGAATCATTAATGAGCCTCCGGGAGCGGGGGAGCAGGGGGGG